GTACTCTAGCATTCTGCTTCGTTACTCTGAACTACGTGAACGAGGTCAGTCCTGTCAGGTCAGTCTTTGTATCAAAGTCTTCCCTGCGCTCTTCAGCATCTTTATGTATGAATGAGAATGTACATTGCTGGTCGAGATTCTACTCGTACCGCATTGTCTATTCAGTCCTTTTCATCACATTGCAGATTCTCGGTTTATTACGTACATTGCATATTTGTGCATGTAACACACATATACATACACAAAGACAGACAAACATACAGACACAGACACAGACACAGACACACACACACACACACACATAGAAAATTTAGAACAATAACCCTTCTATAGAAACAAAAGACTAAAAAACCATTTTAATCCGATTATTTTTTTTTTAATTTAAAAAAATATAATAAATAATAATAAATAAAAAATAATAAAAAATAATAAAAAATAAAATAAATACTTAAAAAAAAAAAAAAATTAAAAAAAAAAAAAAAAATCTTTTTTTTTCTTTTTTTTTTCTTTTTTTTTCTTTTTTTTTCTTTTTTTTTCTATTTTTTCAAAAGCCCAGGTTGTTGTAGAGGTGGGATACTAGGCCAATAACAGTTATCCACAGTACTCAGCCACTCGGTTGTCCAGCTAAATCCCTCTGAATACCCCACCCACCCTTCCTCTTATCATTTTTACCCTGGCGCACCCCCACCCCCCCTGTCCTACCCAAGTGTTAACCACCCAAGACCATCACCCATTGTCATATTTGCAGGGTGACCTGACCAGACAATGGTTGTAGGCACCCAGGCTAGGCAGAGAGACCTACCCCCCTGCTCAGCCCTGGTTGAAGCAGACGCCGTGCAAGCACGATTGCACGGGGACTTCGGGAGCTAAGTATGAACATGCTACTACAGGTCTTCATGAGGGTACACAGTATTACATTGTATTACTACTATCGTGTTTTGATGGCAGAGAGTTGGGGATCCTCCGTTCCCTATAGGGCAACTACGTAGGCATGCGCAAAACCTGAAGGGAAGGTGCCATGGCATAACGCCTTATTGTACGCGGCTGACAGGAGGACAGTGCACTCTAAATTCCTTGAACAGCTCTACTGGCATTCCATCGCGGCCTTCAACCTTGGGAATTTTGTGATTGCCTGCCCCACCTTCTCCGCGGTGATGTCCTCTTCCATTTGGCAAGTGCTTGCCAAGTTTATCCGGGCCTGAATATGTTCCCATATTTCCTGATTGGGCTGACTTGCCATCTCTCCTGGGGTCCACATTTCCTCTTCCATGAATAGCTGGCGATAAAAGTCTGTAACTCACTACAAGATTCCTCTCGTTGTCCGCTGAACGCCAAGTTGAACCGCTTCATCGAAGGAATGCTCTACCGTCGCCATAATGGTCGGGACCTTGCGCGACTTCAACTGCGAGAAGAACTTCCACGCCATCATCTTCCTCCATTCCAGAATCGGCTCCACCCACTTTGTGCACCACTCCTCTTCCTCTTGCTCATCCGCTGGCCCATCATTAGGCAACCTCAATCTCTCCATGAATTCAATTCTCGTCTTTTGATGAGCTACGTAATTCCTCTTTACTCGTGTTATCAGTATGCCCTGCAATTCATGCACGCTTCTGTGGATATGCTCCAGCAGATTCTCCTGTGGGCGTTGCTAGGTCCAGTCCTCCCAGTACTGTCCAATGAGGGATCTAAACTCCTGGGCCTTGATGACCTAGGCCGGTACCGCCCTGGGTGGTCTGCCCATCTCCATATCGGCTACCAAGGAGGGCAGACACTTCTACCAAGGAGGGCAACAATGACAACAGTGACAACTGCAACAACAACAATAGCAACGATAACAACGACAACAACAACAACCAGTTTTCCAGCAGGTGCAGCTCCCCACCAATAGATGGAGCCTCCCCGGGAATGCTAGTGATGTCTACTCTTACCAGTGTCAGTAGCATCCACTCAGGCTGTTGTTCTGAAAAAAAAAAAATTAAAAAAAA